AAAAAAAAAGAAGATAGAAGATATACGGAGTCACAGTACCAAAAAGAATTGGTTGACATTGAAAAATTTGAGGAAGTACCATATGAATAAGTGTCAATGGTAATGAAAGAAGAAGTTCAAGCTTATTACATTGATAAAAAGAAGGCTCCAGAAATTGATGAGATACCAATTGACATGTTTCAACAAAGAGATGCAGCCCTGGATGTGCTCACTAGTTTATGACAGCAAATTTAGAGGACAGCTGCCTGGCTGGGTGACCAGAAGAGACACATATTTGTTCTCTTTCTCAAGAAAGGTGATCCACAGAATGTGGAAATAATAAAATAATATCATTAATTTCACAGGCAAGCAAGCTATTGCTGAAGATCATCTGATTTCAGAGAATTGCTAGTAGAAGTTCAAGCTGGGTTTTGAAGAGGCCATGGCACCATTGTGGGTGAAGATAGATCTTGGCTGAAAGTAAAGAATATCAGAAAAATGTCTATTTGTGTTTTCTTGAGGATACAAAGGCATTTGACTGTGTGGATCCTAACAAACTATGGCTAACATTGAGAAGGATGGGAATTCTAGAACACTTACTGTGTTCATTTGAAATCTATAACTAGATCAAGAAGTTTTTGTCCAAATAGAGCAAGAGACCACTTGGTTATAAATTAGGAATGGCTGTGTCAGGGATGTATCCTTTCTCCATACACACTCAATCTGTATGCTGAGCAAATAACTCATGAAGCTGGACACTCTTAGGAGGAATGTGGCATCAAGTTAGGAGGAAGACTAATCAATAACATGTTCTATGCAGATAAAACAACCTTTCTTGATGGAAGTGAGGAGGACTTGAAATGCTTGTTGCAGAAGATCAAGGACTACAGTCTTTGGTGTAGATTATATCTCAACATCAAGAAAATAGAGGTCCTCACCAATGGGCCAACATCATGATACATGGAGAAAGGATTGAAGTCAATGATTTTATCTTGCTTAGATCAATAATCACCATCCTTGCTACCAGAAGTCTGGAGATAAGGAGACATAATGCATTTGGCAAGTCCACTATCAAGTAACTCTCCAAAATACTGGAAAACAATAATATAAGTTTGAAGACTAAGGTTTGACTGATTCAGGCTATGGTCTTTTCAATCACTTGCTATGTGAGAACTGGATACGAACAAGAGTTATAGAAGAACAATTGATTGCTTTGAGTTACGGTGTTGGAGAAGAATACTGAATATCACACAGACTGCCAACAGAACAAACAGGTATGTTTTGTAGACTGTGCTGCCAGAGTGCTCCCTGAAGGAAAAGATAGTGAAGCTTCCTTCCCCCTCAAACTTTAGGCATGTAGCTAGGAGAGACTATTTCTTGGGTAGTAAATTACTCTTTCCACCAGAAAGGTGGAAGGTCAGTGAAAGAGAGGAAGACTTCTAATGAGATGAATTGACAGAGTAATTACAGCAATCAGTTCAAATGTATCAAAGATGATGATGATGATGGCACAAGGTAGGACACTGTTCAGACTTGTTGCTCATATCATCGTTATGAGTTGTACTAAGACCAACAGCACCTAACAACGACCACCACAACTTTGTAGATAGAGACTGATAATGAAGTCTCCAACAGAGATTGACCACACTGGATTTCTGCACACAACTCCAGGCTGAATAAAAACTTGGAACAAAGCATGGAAAACAGGTAGGAGTGATGACCATCAAACAGGTGTGGTAAAATTGGATTAGAGATTTTAAAAGTTCTTCTGATCAAAAAAGTTTTCTTAGAGTTAATGTCAGACCACGTGTGACATCAAGAACAACAAAAATAGCTATTTCAGACTCTAATAAAAGGTTAAAATAAATTATATAGCTAAGCAAACTGTGTGACCAGTTATTGAATATCTCTTCTATTTTGATCAAAGAATCATATTATGCCAAGAATGACAAATTGAGGTGGAATGATGTTGCATTTGTAGTAATAAAGGACATTTCAAGATCTATCCTGAAGTACAATGCTTTTATTGATAAGAGACTATCAATACACAAACAACGACGCCATGTTAATACAACTATTTTTTAAACTTATACTCCACCCACTAAAAGCCAAAGATAAAGAAGTTGAGCCTTTATACCAGTTTGCAGTCTGAAATTCATTGAACTTGCAACTGAGAAGTATTAGTAATAATTGGTGCCTGGAATGTGAAAGAAACAACAAAGAAGAACTAGAAGTTGGAAAATACGGCATTGGTAAGAGACATGAGCCTGGAGACAGAATGGTAGAATTTTGAATGGTAGAATTTTGAATGGTAGAAATTTGATTTATTAATTTCAAACACCTTTTAAAAAAACAGAAATTGTGACTATTTACATAGACTTCATTTGATGGACCATAGAGGATACAGATTGACAAGATCTGTGGAAAGACTTTATGGAGAAGCTCAATCTCAGTAATCAAAATGAGGCTAACTGTGGAACAGATCATCAGTTGTAGTTCTGTGCTGTTGAGTCAGAACTGACCAATAACTGACCAGTAGGTTTCTAGAGGCAATAAGTTGCATGGGAGGAAATATCCTATCTTTATCCCATGGAGCAGCTGGCAAATTTAAAGCTCATGCTTTTGAGATTTCAGTGCAGCTTCTTACCACTAGGTATCAAGCGCTCCCTAAATTTAAATTGAAGCGGAAAAAAAGGAAAAAAAGTTCAGAAGAATAAAAACGTGACCTTGAGTCATTTCTAACTGAATATAAAAACAATCTCAAGAATTAGATTTGACTCAGTGAACATTAATGAGTCAGTTGAATTGTAAGATGACATCAAAGATGTCATCTGTGAAGAAAGCAAAAGGTCATTACCAAAACAAGGGAGAAAGGAAAAACCAAAATTGATTTTAGAAAAGATTATAAACAGAGAACAAAAAAGAGTAAATGTGGAAATCAGAGAGCTGAATAGAAGATTTGAAAGAACATCTTGAGAAGACAAAGGAAAATATTGTCATCAAAGATGGAGTTAGAAAACTAAAAGAGAAGAATGTACTCAGAATTTCATAAGCTGAAAGAACAAAAGAACAAATTCAAGTCTTGAGTTGCCATGTCAAAGAATTCTCTGGGCAAAATAATGACTTTTTTCAGGAAGCATTGGTTGACACTGAACGATTTTAGGAATTAGCATATGTTCATATGGATAGAGAAAAAAAGTTCAATTTGCACTGAAAGCATTAGAGAAAAAAAAAGGACACAGAAATTGATGGAGTATCAATTGAGTTGTTTCAGCAAACAGATGCAGCCCTGTATGTGCTGACTACCCTATTCAAAGAAATTTGGAAGACCTGATCAACTGACTGGAAGATATCTATATTTGTTTTCATTCCCAAAAAGGTTATGCAACAGAGTGTGGAAATTATTACACAATATAATTAATACCACCTGTAAGAAAAATATTGTGAAGAATTATTAAAAAAACCAGTTGGAGATGCACATTGATAGAAAACATCTAGAGATTTAGTCAGGATTCAGAAGAGGACATGGTATTAGAGATATCATTTCTGATGTTAGATGAATCTTGGCTGAAAGCAGAATAACTGAAATTTGTTAACTTGTGTTTTGTGAATATGCAAAGACATTACACTGTGTGGATCATAACAAATTATGGCCAACTTTGAGAAGAATGAGAATCCTATAACACTTAATTGTGTTCATGTGAAACCTATGCATAGGTTTCAAGAATAGTCATAAAAGTTATTCTTTTATTCATGATGCACAGTTTAAAATCAGTAAAATCATGCCTGAAAATTTTATCCCTTTTCTATACCTATTCAATTGTGGCATCCACTTCTGAAATAGCTTGTCTCTGGAAACCCTATGAACTTGGAGAAATAAAGAAAGTTATACAAGTGTTCAGGTCTTTCATTCATAGGGTTACTATGAGTCACCTATGACTTGATGGCATTTAACAATGACATACTATATAAAGAAGAATATGGCATCAGGATTGAAGGAAGAGTCATCAACAACTTACATTATACAGATAACACAATCTTGCTTGCAAAAGTTAAGAAGACTTGAAGCACTTACTGAACTTACTGAACAAGAGTGACTTTCTTTTTTTTCTTTTCCTAGCATGGTGACTTTTTCCAATTAATACCCCTTTTCTCACAAGGTGCCAAAAAAATGTGAGGTGCTTTGCCATACTTCCTTGATTGTGGATACAAACAAGACAAAGTCAGTGACAATTTAATCTTTGTCCATCTATCATGATGTTGCCTATCAACACAATGGTGAAAACTTTTGTTTTTGTGATGTTAAGACATAATCCATATTGAGGTCTATAGTCTTTGAACTTCTGCAGCAAGTGTTTCAAGTCCTCCTCACTTTAAGCAAGGAAGCTTGTGTCATCTGAATAATGCAGGTTGTTGATGATTCTTCCTACTATTCTAATGTCACATTCTTCATCATATAGCCCAACTTCTCGAATGGTTTTCTCAGCATACAAACTGAATAGGTATGGAGAAAGGATATAGCCCTGACACATACCTTTCTTTACTTTAAACAATGAAGGGTTCATTTGCTTTGCTCAGACAACTATCTCTCTCTTTTTTTTTATGGGCATGATTAAATGTTCTGGGATTCCAATTCTTCTCAATGTTAACCATAGTTGTTATAATCTACACAGGTAAATGTCTTTGCATAGTCAACAAAACACAAGTAGACATTCTGGTAGTATTCTCTTCTTTCTGCCAAGATCCATCTGACATCAGCAATGATATCCTTGGTACTACAGCGCATCTAAATTCCTCTTGAACCTCTGGTAGTTCTCTGTCAATATTCAGAGATTTTTTTTGCACATTGGATGATCTTCAGCAGTATTTTGCTTGCATGTTATATTAATGATATTATTTGATAATTCCCACATTGTGTTGCATCACCGTATTGGGAATGAGTACAAATATGGATATCTTCCAGTATATTCATTTTCTCACAACTGGATTAAATAAATTATATTATGAAAATGGAGAAAAAAATTGAAGTCAAGGATTTCATTTTACTTGGATCCACAATCAATGTCCACAGAAGCTACAACCAAAGAAATCAAGCAATGTATTACACTTGGAAAATCTGCTGCAAAAGATCTTTTTAAAAATACTAAAAAATGAAGATGTGACTTTAAAAACTAATGTCCATGATACTAATAATCTTGATGTATTCAGTCACCTTATATGCATGTTAAAGCTAGATAGTGAATAGAGAAGACCAAAGAAGAAATAATACCTTTTTAGTTATGGTGTTAGTAAAGAAGTTTGAATATGTTATGCACTGTCAGAAAAAAAAAATCTAACTTGGATGAAGGACCAGTAAAGCACTTCCTACATGCAAGGACTATAAGACTTTTTTGCATACTTTGGACTTGCTATCAGGAAGGATCAATCCCTGGAGAAAAATTTCATGCTTGGAAAAATCGAGGTCAGCAAAAGAGAAGAAGACCTCCACAAGATTGATTGACCAATGACTGCAACCTTGGGCTCAAAGACAGTAATGATTGTGATTGTGAGAATGGCCTAAGACCAGGAAGTGTGTCGTTCTGTTATACATTAGGTAGGAACTGGCCTGATATTACCTAACAATAACATTGAGAGATATACAGAGAAAGGACTGGATATGTCATGACTGAAAACACAAACAGACAAAAGCCAGAAGTATTAGCCGGATATAGGCAGAGTCCAGGTGAATGAGACAGTCTCTTCTGGTTTTGTGTTTTTGCTACCACACTAAGTTTGTGACCAGAAAGAGTGAAGAGAATAGGGAACCACAAGACAGGGCTATTAAATACCTGAAGTTTAGCAGCTAAAATCCTCTCTTGTTTTTCCACCAATTCAATCCTGTCCTTCTCCATCTTCTCAGTTAATTGTCTGATATGTTCCTGATAACTCTTTTCTTTCTCTTGCATCATCTGCTCATTCTTTTTTTGTATTTCTTCTAATAATTTTTGTGAAGCCTTTGCAGATTCAGCTTTCACACGTTCCACTGTGGAAAAAAAGAAAGAAGAGAAAGGCAAGTGGGATTGCTATCTTAATCTCCCCTCCCCTACTATAATTACCATTGTTGTTGGTTTAGAGGTGAAATGCCTTGGGGAGATTTTTACTTCTGAATAATTGTAACACCAAATGACAAACTATAAGACAGAAATGGCTTCAGAAGCTAAGGCATGTCTTTGCTGTTCTTGGCCTAGTCCAGTAACCACACATTTACCCAGGTCAACTTATTTTAAAAAAATGTAACAGATTTTGAGAGCTATCTGTTTCTTGATTTGCTTTTACTCTCCTTACCTTCAATCTCCTTCTCCTTCTCTTGGAGAGACTGATCTGTCTGTAGAATTGCATCCATCATAGACTCTTTGGACATCAAGTATGTCTGCAAACTCTCTTCAGCCTTGTGAACCAGAAAGCATAGACTTAGCAGTACAAAACGGCGGTAAGCCTTTGCTCCTGTTTTCTTAGCCCACCATCCTTCCCTGTTAGATTTGCTCCTTATGGCTCTGGTGAGATGGGCCCAGGTCAAGCCTCCTGCCAGAGGTGAGCACATGTTTCAGGCTATCCAATCATGTCACTTTATTAATCAGAGTCTTTTGTGGGAGGCTGATATTAATACAAAAAGTATCATGGTCTTCTTAGACTGAGGAATCTAAGATTGGAATAATGGATGCTGTGGACCCATATTAGGTGACCTTGCCAGAGAATGAAGCCATAAGGGAGAAAACAGATTAGAAGAATGGAGATAGAAGGAGAAAGAATGAAAGGGAAGGTATAGTTTGAATGAAAGCAGTAGACAAAGAATGAGATGACATAATTTGTAGTGTTAGATCCAGTTCTCCTTAAAGTCTGTTTTAAGGCTAATGAATTACTATTTTTGCTTAAGTGATCATTTTTGAGTTTGTGTCCCTGGCAACAGTAACATAACATCAGTACCAGATTTAATGAGCTCTTGTGGTATATCAATTAAGCACTTGGCTGGTAACTTAAACGATTAGTGGTTTAAACAGCAGCTTGATGGTACAATGACTTGATGATCTGCTACCACAAGATTGCAGTTTGGAAAAAAATAAAAAAAAACAAACAAGCAGGGGAAAAAACCCCTTTGGGTCATTCCTCCTCTACTAGATGGAGTTGCTATGATTTAACACTAACTTAATGGTACCTAACAATAATAACATAATAGAGGATTACAACAAAATGGTGGATAATTTGATAGTTTACTTTATAACTCAAATATGAGCTGAGTGCACTCTTTTGATAGGCATCATCTACAGTACACATGGTACAACAGAATCACTATACATGGCGATTGAAGGAATGCTATGCAGACAACAAGGTACTTTTGTATGTACTTACCCTTGATTGAACTTGTGATAGAAATAGGCCTCTCTGTTGCAACAATGAAAAACATCTTAGTTACCTGTATCCCCTTCCTGGGTTCCTGTTGGTACTTTTCCTTCAGCTCTTTCATCTTCTGAACAAAGACACGATATCCTCCTGCTTTAGAATAGATCCCCTGACTCACTTCTTCTTCTAGTGGGCTGAAAATATTCTTAAGTAAAGCTGAGCAATGATCTGTTGATACTTGCATGTTCTGCTTACAGAAATCATCCAGCTTCTGTCTTAGCTCAGTCTTTAATGTAAAAATAGGGAGCAAAGAGAAAAACAGGAAAAGGACATAAAAACTTCTAGAATGGTTTCTCCAAGATGTTTATGACCCCTAAAAACTTACAGCTTCTGAACAGGACCATCTCTGTCCTTCCTACCTTCACTTTATACTATGTCTCATATAGTGTTGATAATATTCATTACAGACTTGAGAGTCTCATATAAATACAAGTAAGTCTTCCCCTCCCCCAGTCAGACCAGGAATTTCATGTCAACAAAATAATTGATCAAGGTAATTAAGGCTATAATTTATTTGCTTTTGTCCATAATATCGAATCAACTTGATGTAAACATGGTTGATGGGTGCATGTGTCCAAAGACGTTAAGAGGAAGATTATTACCTCCTCTTCACTTATTGACTATTTTTGTTGAGTTGTAGACGACGACTCATAGAGACCCTATGAACGAAAGACCTGAACCTTAATCATTACAACTAGTATTAGCTTGTATAGTTTTCATCCTTTCTCCAGGTTCATAGGGTTTCCAGAGGCAACCCAATTTGGAAGTTGATGCCGCTCCTGCTTCCAAGCTTGTTTTAATCAGGAAGCTCCAACAAACACTGTTCACCATGGGTAACCATTATCACATTTGACACATCAGTGTCACAGTGTTTAGCATCACAGCCACCTCAGTTACTTCTGTACAGCAAATGTACAGACCAGTGCTATACCACTTAGAAGAATGTTCAACAAAAAACTAATTAAAATTGGGCCTGAAGGCCACAGATTAAAATCACTCACCATTGGTTGGTAGCATAACTTTCTATGCACTAGGCCAACAGAGCTCTCTCTATGTTGTTATTGTTGCTAAGTGCCGTTGAGTTGTAGACCTGTAGACGACTCATAGGTTTTTAAATAGGAGGCCGGATCACATCTTCTCACACCCATGAGCAAATCAACATTCCACCCTACTCCTCAGCAGTACCAGCAAACAAACCTCTGTATAATCCAGTTCCTGCAGACGACTTCCATAGTGGATTCCAGCCCCCTATTGACTATTATGTTATCTAAAATGTCCCATTTACTATAATAGAAGGGGGGGAAATATCCCCGACTTTTCCACAGTATTGTTGTGTACTGGTGAGTTGGAACCAACTTATAGGTGGTTCTCCAGCAGGTTTTCAGGGGTAGTAAATCTCATAGGAATTTGACCAGCTTTCTCTAATGGGGCATCTGGCGAGTCTTATACTTTTGAGTTGGCATTGCAACTCCTTACCATATTAGTAACATACATCTTGCAATAAATAATGCATGGATGTGGGGTAAAGCTAGTACTAGTTGTAATGATTAAGGTTATATGTCAACTTGGCTGAGCCACATATGATTCTCAGTGATTTGGCAGTTATGCAATGATGTAATAATGCTCCATTTTACAATGTGATTGGCCATCCTCTATTTTTCATAATGTTCATTTTCACGGACTGAATTGGTCTTTGGAACCTAACCATGTTGATAAGAGAGGAGTGATGTTGGCACTGTCTGTAGGGAATTGAACAGTTTACTCAAAGGCAGTATCTCTCGGATGGTGAAAAGCCCACTGATATGAGTTAGTTCTGACTGTATGGCAATGAATTATTTAATTTGAGGGGTCATCTATTTCTGAAGTGTTGAGTCCATAATAACAAAATTTGTTACTATAATTGCAAGTAGGTAATTTCTAAATTTAAATATTTACTAAGACTAGGGTCGCTATGAGTCGCAAACGACTAGATGGCAACAACAACAACATTGGTCCTTTCAAAAGAAAAAGTACCATTTCATTTCTTATCAATATTTGGCCTTCCAAGCACCTATTTTGTACAAGCTGGAGAAAAATATATTACCGCTAATTTCTTTTGAAATAATTGGTCCACGTCCTTGAAGGAGTTCTTTATGAAGACCTCGATGGCTTCTTTCTCACTGGCTCTGTGCAGGTCCAGCAGTTCCTGAAGGGTTTCTGTGGGCAGTTGCACCTTCTGGCCCATCTGCTGATCGTAATGGGCAATGGCCTTTTGCACTGCAGCTGAGTTCTCTATCTGAGCCAAGGCCAGGACTGCATTCTCCATGCATGGCAGGTCCCCACTGCTAATGGCATTGACGTAGGTCTGCACCAAGTTCTCCAGACCTTTAACCAAAGAAGAAATGATGATATTCACTGCAGGTGGTATGAAAAGATATCTCTGTTCTATGTCATTTTGAATCTGTCTGCTAATAACTATTTGTCTCACAGTGTAAAAGGCAACGGAATCACCTTGAGCCTGCTGGACATACAGATTCTTAGTTCCTTTCCCAGACTTAATGACTAGAACTTACAATTTGGCAAGATCTCCACATTAAATGCTGTTAGACCAGCAAATGAACATTCCTGTTCTAGACAAAACAAATCCATGTTTATCCATGCTTATATTAATTTTATTCTCAAGTACCATTAGGACAAGAATCCTTTCTTTCTTGTTGATGTCTCCATCACCAATCCTGGTCTATGGTAAGTATTCAATAAAATTTTATGGAGAAAATGCTGCTATTCCAATTACAATGTTTCTTTCATTTTGTCAGCCTAGCTCAGCACTCTATAAGAATGTTCATTGATGATGAATGTTCTGTCTCTGCAATCTACTGTGGTAGCCATTAGCCACACAAAGCTACTGAGCCCCTGAAATGTGGCCTTGTGATCTGAGTTTTAAATTTTATTTAAATTACAATTAAATGCAAATATACATACAACTTTAGTGGCTTCCGTGTTGGACAGTGCAGGTCCCCTGACTAGATCGGTGTTAACTGACAAAGTGTCTTTTATTTCTCTTCCCAATCTTTCCTACCCAAGAGCTTTTTCTACAAGATCTTTTAGAAATATTGGTAGCAACTGTGTTTTAGCAGACTCATAGCAGTATGCTTTGTATTTATCTAAGCTGAAACAAGGCTGATTTTATTGTATCTTAAATTATATTTAATAACAAGTGGAATGAAAGGAGGAAGACTTACGAGGTCCATTAACCTTGATGTTTCCTGAAAGAGTCTTGACCTTAGAATGACTGAAGATGAAGGAACAGAAGTCTGCAACTTGTTGCACAAATTCAGGATCCAATTCATCATCATGCAGTGTCTCAAGGCAAGCAAGCTGCTTCTTGTGAGCAGGCCGATCAAAAATAAAGCATTTCTTTTTTGGGAAGAACTTTCGGATACAGAGTCGAGGCAAGTTAAATTTTTTTTCTTTTTGACTGGTACCTGAAGGAAGAAAATAAAGCTTTTTTTTTTTTAAATATAGGGGCAGGAAAATTTTATTTTCTTCGCAATAGAATCAAAGAGAAAATACTTTAGTCTTTGCCAATCAAATAGCTTCTTTCAACATGTCTCTCTTCTGTTCCTGTATCATGAAAACAGCTTAGGACATTATATAAATAAGTGAATATAATGTTGTTGTGTACTATTGAGTCAGAACCAACCCGTAGCTGACCCTCCAGTGTGTTTTCAGAGACAGTTGACTGAACGGGAGAAAATTGCCCAACCTTCTGTAGAGCAGCTGGTGTCTTCGAGCCATGTACCTTTGGGATTGCAGTACAACTTCTTGACACTAGGACTCCAGAGCTCAGAAAAAAAAAAATTGATTTACAAAGACTGCATGTAGGCTGCATCTGACCTACATTCTTTCCGTGGATATGGCATAAACTAGTATGCCATTCAAGCTTTACTATATTCTGATTCCTTCTACAAAGTATCTTTTACTCCATATTCTCTGGTTAAACACCATTTTAGAAACACTAACTTATTGTTGTTGTTGTTATGTTCCATCGAGTCATTTGTGACTCATAGTGACCCTATGTACAAGAGGCCTAAACACCGCAACATTAACTAGGGAGATAAAATTTAATCTAATCTGTAAGGAATGATGAAGGACAGTATGCTTTCTCATGGAACAGGAAACCTGGTAGTTGCTGGAAAAAATTTAAAATTGTATATATTAATTCAGGGAGTTCTGGTGTCTTAGTGGTAAGAAGTGGTGCTGCCAACCCAAAGGCACCTAGTTTGAATCTACCAGTTAGTTGCTCCATGGGAGAAAGATGGACAATCTCTTCTATGTGAATTTCTACTTCTGAAAACTGAGTAGAGGGCAGTTCCAACTTGATAGCACACAACAACAATATGGATTAATTCAAATACTAAGCAAATATTGATTCTTAAGAAAGAGTAAGAAGAAATAAAAATGTTAAAAAATTCTTTAAAAAAGGACTTTGTTGTTTTGGACTTCCTGTTTTCTACTTATAAATTCCTATTACCTGGAATTAGCTTCAGGGAGTTTTCCAGGTACTCATCAGCTGTGATAGCTTTTCCATTGATATCCAAGTCTAGGTAGAAGTCTCTTACAGTCCACACAAAGTCTGGAAAAAAGGCTATAAACTCAGCTGAATCTTCATCCTTATTTGCACCAGAGTTTACTCTGATTCGATCAGTGAGCTCCGTTACATAGCTAAATGTTAGTTAAGGAGAAGTGTTAAAACTAAAAGGTCCCTGATAGATTTGCTGGTGGTCTAGTGGTAAAAACTTACACTATAATCCTAAAGGCAGATGGTTCAAATCCACCAACTGTTCTGCAAGGATGGGCAATCTCCCCCTGTGCCATTTACTGCATCTGAAAACTCACTTAGTTTTGATTCAATGGCACACCAGAAAGCAATGTGTTATTTTAGTTACTCTCAAGTACTTAAAAATTTTGATTTTACCTTTGTCCTTTACTCATGTCACATTAGGAATAGTTGTGTTGTTGTTTTTTGGGTTTTTTTTTTTTAAAGAAATAGTTGTTTTGCTGTTGAGTACCATTGAGTTTGAACTGATCCACAGTTGACCCTCCAGCAGCTTCTCAAAGGCTGATAATTTCTCAGGAGAAGACTGCCCATCCTTCTCCCATGGAGCACCTGGTGGATTAGAACCATGTGCCCTTGAGGTTGCAGCACAGCTTCCTACCACTAGGCCAAATAGGTGTGTATCTACTTTTTCTTAAGCACTTGATTCACACTCATGTATCTGATTTACTAACAGTTGTGCCCTCTAGCTTTGGTTGGCTTTTGACCAATAAAGGATACTGTAGTTGGTCCAAGGCCTGCTGATTGATGGTTCCCATGCTGTTGTATACAAAGGTGCTGCTCAGGAGGATGGCCAAGGCAAAGATCCAGGAGTCATTCTGGTTGTCTCCCTGGAAATTAGAACATATTTGCTCTAAGAGTCTGCTCATCTAATTGGAGCTTTAGTTTAGTTTTGTTTTCATTTTTAAAGGCTGATCACCTATAAAGGGAAGCCAAATCCACAACCAATTGATTGTAAATTGGCCCAAAACTTTTCTCATTAGTATTTTTGGTTTACATTGCTTCATAGTTTGAAGCATACCAGGTCATTTTATAATCATTGGCATATATTTGCAAAATAAATATTAAGATTGGTGGATATTCTCAAGTCTTAAATACAGTGGTTTAAATTTTTTCTTCTCTCTTCCTTTTTCAATAGCAAAATTGGCTTATGAACAAATGATAACAGTTTATGGACAAGAATGATAATACTTCTGTTTCTTTTATTGAGTAATTACTTTGTATCTAAACTTTATACTATTTATTTATTGTTTTTGTTTTTAGGTGCCATCGAGTCTAGTGCAACTCTGAACCCTGTTCTATTCTTCACCAACCTCATGCTTCCTGAAACACAAGAGCCCATTGCAGCAGTTACCACATCAATCCACGTGGTTGGTCTTACTTTCCTTCACCAATCCTCCACCTTCCCAGTATCATGTCCTTCTCCAAGGAGTAACCCCTCTGGCAACATATCCAAAGTATGTGAGGTGAAGCCTCATCATTCTTGCCTCCAAAGAGCCCTCTGGCTGTACCCTCTTATAATAAAAAAGTAAATAATGAAGAGGGAATCCATAGGTAATGGCCTTAATTAAAACTTGTATCTTCTTTTCTTACCTTCTCAACATCTCCCAGGCCTTCAGTGTCAAGCAGAACTAGAGTCTGGTCTGACTTTGTGGGATGAGGCACACACCACATCCAGATTCCCTTTGTTTGAGACTGTACTGTGGAGCCCAGGCAGAAGCCTGCAATGGGATATTACAAGTAGAGATTTCTCAGGAGTAAATTTTAGAAATTCAGCTAAGATTTAAAGTAACCGTGGTTAGAAGAGATACCTAAAATCACAACCAGTATTGCTCTAAATTACAACCAGAAAAGTGTTCAGTATCAGTTACATATTTTATTTTATCCAAAGACCAGTGTGACACTCGTTGTCACTTTAAAACAATATTACTATAGGTGTTATTATATGAATCAAATATAATCACCACTGCTATATTCTATCCAGGAAAAGAACAATTATACTTATAAAAATCTTAAAGTAGGAAGAAAGAGTGAATTCACTTTTATCCCATAGACCAACATGAAGACAAATGTCCCGTGTATGGATGTAAAGGAAGATGTCAATATTCTTCCCATTTGTCTACTTTCTCTCCTCATATTTGAGGTTAGTGTGCATGGATAGAAGGCACTTAGCAGATCTTCAATAATGTCACTTACCCTTTTTCTTCCCCGCCAGCTTGTTCATTAAGTAGGATTTGCCTGTGCGGTAGAGCCCCACAATAGCCACCACCACAACAGGCTGGGTAATGTCAGACAGGATCTTCAGAGCTTCGGGGTTAACCTTCAGTTTTAAATCAATGTTCTCAATAAGGCACACTGGGCCTGGCATGTACTTCTCGGAGGCCATGTCCAAGGTGTTACTTTATCTGTTCTGAAAGAGGTGAGATGAGTTGGAATTTCCAATCTCTAATTATGTCAACAATTTTCACCAGCTTTAAAATTCTATACTATGCTATAGTTGTTGTTGTTAAGTGGCATCGATTCAAGTACAACTCATAGTGACCCTATGAACAAAAGACCTGAAACCAGTACTGTCTTGTGCCATCCTCACACTTCTGATACACAAGAGCCCGCTGCAGCAGTCATCATGTCAATCCACCTGGTTGAGGATCTTCT